TCACTGGGCACCACTGGGCTCAGTCCAGCTCCATCCTCTTCAGCCTCTTCCATCAGACACTTGGACATGCCGAGAAGGTCCCTGAGAGGGCCCCGAGAGCCTCTCCTGCGCYTGCTCCCGCGTGTCCATGTCTGTCTCTGGCACTGGGGAGGTCGGAGCTGGATCCAGGACTCGCAGAGCTGCAGAGCGGGGCGGGATCCCCTCTGCCGGGCGCAGTCCCACAAGATGGAGGCCACAAGTGGGCGCTGCTGCCTCATGTTCCGCTCGTCCAGCAGGTTCCTCGCGACGCCGCTCTCCGTGCGGTTGGTGCCCAGCCTCTCCTGGTCAGGGTTATTCCTGCCCAAGGGCAGCACTTAGCGCTTCCCGTTGCTGAATTTCATGAGGTAGCTCTGCCCYTCATCAGCTCACTCTGAGGCGTGGTGCAGCCTTCTGGTGCATCAGCCACTCCATAAATTCTGTCCTGTGCAAAAGGGAATTCACCCTGCCCCATCACCCAGGGCATTAAGGAAAATACTACAGCATTGGCCCCACTAAAAACCCCTAGGGTTGCAACRTTCAGGGGCTTAGTATTTAGTTTATTTTTCTATAAATCCAGTTTCCCTTAGGATTTTTTTTTCAGAGATTTTTTCTGCAAAACTGACTCTGATAAACTCTTTATGGGATATGGAGTCCCTAGAAATGATCCAGGGTGATCCCTAAGGGAAAGCGGGTTTTAMAATGGCTATTTTCTGAAGTCATTAAAAAATGTAAGCTGTTGCCTCAAAAAAATGCACATTTTCATCAGAAAGTTCAAGATTTAGAGAATGTGGCTGTCAGCACCATTACTTAAAAGAGAAAATGTAAGATATTGACTTTGTCTCATTTCGATCACATCACTGAAGTATTTGCTTCACTGTGGTACAGAACTTGTGGTATTGTGGTTTTAAAAACACATTTTAACATTTGGCTTTCCTTAGTATGAACCATCTTATGGAAGCTAAAATGTTGTAGCAATCAGCTTTAATTTCAGCAACTGATTTGTAATGGACAGGTCTCTAAAGGATAGTGAATAATGGGTAGGTTGTTTGCGCATTGCTTCTTTCAAACTCTTAGAAACTTGTGGCAAACTTTCATTTACCTGCTCAGAGTCAAAACCTACGTATTTGTGTACCATACGCACATTTTGTGACAATTCAGGGGTAGCAAAACTGCAGCAAGAGCAAACAAGGTGAATTAAAGTCTTCCTTCTCCAGACAGAAGACTTATGCAATAAGTATATCACTCATTAAATAAAATCATTCATATATTGTATARTATACTTGCCTAAGACTCTGAAGTTATTTCCCTGGTTTGGGCATTGGTAAGAAGTGTCACCCTTCTACTCTGGAGCAGACTGTCCCTGTAATTCCTGTGAGGCACATTCCTGTTCTTGCTTTTTCAAGGGGCTATTACATAGTCTTAAGTAACCAAATACAGCCTTTATCATTTGAAAGAGGAAGCAGAAACGGCATGAGATGTTCTCCTAGTAAAGCAAGTTCTGTAGCAACCCCTTTGAATGGGACAGGATCTCAAGGCAGTTACAGGGAAATGAGATTTTTTTTTTTAATCCAAAGTAATCTTATTGCATCACTTTTATTTGAAGCAGTGTTGTTGATGATATTTGTGATTGTATCATATCAATGGATTACTGTTACTTTTTTGAATTATGATATATATCACTTGCATCATAAATGCCTAAAATTCAGGAGTCAATAATTGAAATATCTGTTGCTGTCATCTTAAAACATGTTAAACTTGTACTGCAAAGCTGATAAGACTTAGTACACTAAAGGAGAAGGATCTCTAGTATTCTTAATGTTTTTAAGGACATAATTATAAAATTAGTCTATATCTGACCGCATTGAAATGTCAAGGACAAAACTTACTAGCTATTTTGGCAAGTTTACTTTTGCTTTAAATGGTATTCAAGAGACAGTTGTAGGAGCTTTAATTAGGTATGATATTAAAAATTATCTAAGTCTTTGACAATGGWAAGAAAAAGAGATAATTTAGATCATAAAAGTATATTTCTCAAAGGAATTGTTATGGACTATGTAGCTATCTGCAAGGCAACGGGAATTACTAGTTCTAGGATGTCAAAAGACTGATACACTTGACTAATTAGGATGCCAGTAGGGAATGGTGGCACAGTTTGCAGCAGCTTGTGAAAGCTGATTTAACGGCCCCATAGGAACTGCTAATGTTGAACAATATTTGCTATTTTTATTCTGTCACTAGAGCAATGTTTTATGCAGTTCTCCCACAGCAATTTAAGAGATTTCTTAAATACTATATGATATCTTTATGCTTGCTAAGTGTTATGGATAGCTAGTTAAGTGTGGGTTTCAACAATTAGCTTGGTAACTTTGTAGGAGGGGTCACAATCAGCTGTTGATATTGGCATCAAAACACGATTTGAAGTCTAATGTAGGTATAGAAGTTTGAAAAATGGACTTTCTAATTGTTTTGGAGATGGAACATTAACTTTATCTGCATTCATTTGTTTTTTTTTTTCAAGGCATATGTATATACAGAAAAATGGCAAGAATTTTTTATTGTTTTTTGCCATGAACTATTCAGTGGAAGCACTGACACAGCTTGTGACTAAAGTATATTTCCAATAAGTAGGAGAAATAGATAGTATCATGCTGTATAATCATGCTAAAAAAGTGGGTTTGCAGTTAATAACAGTATTTGTATTCTATTAAAGTCTTTATTTTGTACTTCATCTTTGAATGGAATAACATATTATGCACCAATCTTTTTTTTCTACTGAAAACTGTTATTAATAGCTTGATAAATAAACATCAAATCCGTAGAAGTCTTGGGAAGACAGAAGAAAAAAGATGATACATCGAAATGAGATTAAAAGCAATATTCTTTTTTTCTGTTCTTTCTGCTCCCTGAAACAAAGCTTATAAACTACTTCTACAGCCATTTACGGTAGTGTTTAGGGGAGTGTGATGTTATTCAATCTTTTTGGAACTGCTGTTAACTAAAATGATTACAAACTTTCCTCCCACATTCATGTACCAAGCCGTAACTAATGGCTTGGCCTCAGGGTTTCCTCAAGCACCAGTTTGGGTTGAAACTACACACTGAATGCTTCAGTTTGAGGCAGGAGTATTTCAGACAATTGAATGAAATCAGGAGGGGGAAAAAGAAAGTAAGAAGAAATCCTCAGAAGCTGAAGATATGCTCTGAAAAAAAAACAGTTTTTAGCTATATTCCAAGCCTTGGTAATAGCTGAGATGGGCCATTAATCATGAGAGACCAAAATGCAATGCAGTAAAGCCTGTTATACCAAATGCAAAGCAGGAAAAAATGTATTTCAGTCTGTTTATTCTCTATCTAAAAGCTAACTAGTCCAATAGTACACGCTGCAGAGAAAAGAGAAGAATTAAAGGCACTTAATGCGTTTATTCTGTCATGTTAATGACCAGTATCTTGGATAGTATAAATATAGTATACATATCCAATTAGCAGAAAATCTAAAATTGGCAAAAAGGCAAGCGACAGAAAACAAGGGCTAGCTAAATGCATTTGTAATACAGTTGCACAAGAGCAACTTATGAATTCTTGATTTTCTGATCAATTTGTAAATACTGAAGGAAAAAAGTGTTCTTATTAAAACATGAATTAAATTTGAAACAGTGTTAGGGAATGTCTGTTTGAGTTTTATATCTATTTATATGTTTATTTGTAAGGAATTTTTAGATTCAAAATCTTTTTCTAACATGATTTCAAGTCACATTAGTGACAATTTGAAGGATCATTTGTCTTCAGTTTTGTTGGAAAAAAAAAGTTTAAATTTAGATGCAAGTAAGAACTCTACCTTCCCAGAAATTATTTTTATATATTCTGAGAATATGTGTATAAATATATATATATATATAGATATAATATGTGTATAAATATATATATCTAAATATATATATATATTTATACACATACAAATATACGCAGAAACAACCACAGATCATAATTTCCATTAATAATTCACCCTGTATTCAGGACTAGAAGGTGGCTTTTTCTTCCTTACTAGCCCTTTTTGGACTCCTTAAAATGGGTATGGAAGAGATAGGTTAACTCGCCAGCTTGAATTCAGTGTTGGCAAAATCACTGCTGAATCAGACTACACCTAGGGCATATATTGACCCAAAGAGTTTTACATATTGGAGCATAATGAGCTTTCTCCTATGTCATTCTTTATTCYTCTTGGAAGATTTTTCATAGCAAACTCCTAGAATTGTGTTCTTTGTTCTAAGCTGTGTGTAGACAAGGAGCTAACAAGATTCACAAATCCAAAATTTTTTGACATGTGCTTTTGTGAGGAACTAAGAGTAGGGTTTGGTGGTGGTTGGTTGGTTTTTTGATGCTTACATCTGATTATAATCTCATGGTAACATTCATAATTCCTTCAGAAAGATATTATACATACATATATGATATGATGAGTAGAATTTGCCCGAATTACATAAATCATTTAATATTGCCCACAGGTTATTAAACAGGAAGAGAAAATGGGTTTTGATTAAAGCTGCCTATTGCTATAACTGCATATCCTCTCTAGTCTAATATTGTTCACTCAATTTCCTGCTGAGAAACAATTTCAACTTTTTTAACAATAATTCAAATGATCTCTTTTGTCTAATATAGAAAATCATTTTAAGGAACAGCTTTCAAAAGCTGACATGAAACTAATTATTTGTATTTGCAAAAGGGTATTGAAATAAAATGATGAGTGAAATGACATTTCTCTTAAAAAATACGGTTGAATTTCACTAGAATGGAATAAAATTTGACCTAGTTTATTATTATTGACAAAAGAACAATTCTCTTGTGATTAATTGTGAGAGAGCAATTTGTGGAAGTTAAAGCTTGGTCTACAATTGAAATAAATCGTTTCAATAACAAATCTTATTATTAATGCTTTGATGTTGCTGTGGTAACCCAGGAGGTTCCCCCTCTCTCTTTCACAGAAGGTGAGGAGACGGGAGTCATGGATAGTCTGTTGGAGGCCTTGCAATCAGGCGCTGCCTTTCGAGACAGAAGGAAAAAGACACCCAGGTGTAAAGGTGAATATTTTGTTTACATTTTGTTTTCCAGAGTGGTTTGTTAAAAGTCCAAGTTGCTGGAGCTTTAAATGCTACCGAGTTTAATTCTTCCATGCAGTGGCACCTTTCAGAGAGCCTCATGCTGCCTGCCTGGTGCCGGTCACACTTCTGAGATCAGTGTTGAACTTAGTGTAGCCTGAGTGTGATGGCAAGGCTCTTCCATGCAGCTGTGTGTGCTTTAGCATTTAGAGCTTTACAGTAGCAAGAGTTGAACGTGGGAGGTAAAAGTCATCCCGTTTCCCAGTGGATCAAACATTTCATGGGTATTAACTGTAGCTTTAGCCGTAGAAATATCTACCTTTACAAGAACTGTGCTCAATAATATTGCTATTATAGTCCAGTAACTCTCAGAGAGTATTTTATTTCCATTGCTTTCTTGCTTTTGCAGATCTGCCGCAGAATCTCAGTCCAACGAGTCAGAGGCCTGTGCTGAAAGCCTGCAACCACGGTAATAAGCCCTACTCATCAACTGCATGCTCTTCCTAACTTAGCTTGTCTTCCTGCTCTGTGATTTTGGAATACTCTGGTTGTATTTGCAGTTTTCTACATTAGTGGAATAGTTAAATAGTATYGGGGCCTACTTGTCAAGGTTTGCCTGAGCTGTATATTATGTTCTTAAACTACACTTGTCGATTATTTTGCAAAGCTCTTCTGTCTTTTSTGGGTTCTTTCATTTATTTAAAATGTGGTTATGTTTAGAAATACAGCTTTTACATAACTGTTCTTAAGGTTCTTTTTTGAAGAATTATGAACTATGTTAGAAAACAGAGATTGTGGCAGAGACTTGAAATGTTGCTAGGTATTTATAATACTGAATTAAAGAACCTTTTGCATTCATTCATTTTTTTTTTACTTTGTTGGCGCTATAATTGGCTTAATCTTGGCTTAAGTTACCTTTTATCAGTACAACACGGAAGTATAATGTATCAGAAAAAAATAGGAAATCAGTTAATTCACAACAGGCTCAGACAAATATTTCTCCAATTTATGGCCATAAATCTTACATATATGTTTAAACTCTTGACTTCAGGAGTGGGAATACTCCTCAATTCTCACTGAACTCAACAGACCTACCCATGTGGGAAGCTATTGTCTGAACATTTCCGTTTTTCACGGAATCCCAGAATAGTTGAGGCTGGAAGGGAAGGCTGGAGAGGGTCTAGTCCAGTCCAACTGCCCTGCCCTGCTGTTGGATCCTGTAGGATCCGCTGGAGCTGGATGCCCAGGTCCGTGTCCGGCTGCATTTCCAGTATCTCCACAGCCTCTCTGCGCTCGTAGTGTTCAGCCTCCCTCACTGTAGAAAAAAATGTTTGTTCTTAATATTTAGACAATGTATTTTAAGCAGAATGCACTGTCCTTTGCTTGTGAATTTGTAAAGTAGATGCCATCTAATTAAGGATATAGATTATATCTCCTATTTGTTCAATATTTATTTCTTAAATTACTGTAGTAGAAAATGAACATACAGAATTCAGAATTAGTGTTTTTGTTTTGTTTTTAAGAACATATAGAAATTAGCATCATGGAAATATAAATCACAGAAAATAGAGATGGAATGTGAAATGTCCATGTCAAAGAGTTTAATTCACTTCTAGAAATTGACTGAAGGAAGAATCAAGCATATGTGATAGGTGCTGTCCAGCACATAACATATTGATACTTAAATAACGGTTACAGAGTTTAACCTGTATGTGGTTTTGCTTGTGGAATAGTTACGTTAACTGTGGATGTTTTTCCACATCCTATATGCAGGCAAACAGCACAGCTTCCAAGTTAAATGCAGTTGGACAAATATGAAGTTGTGTTTTGGGTCAAGTTAAAAATTCAGTAAATGTCTAATCTTTTAATTTTGCAAAATCTCAGCTTAATCTAGAATTAGATAGAATTTGTATTTGGATTTTTTTTTTTAATTTGCCTTTTTTTTTYCCCCCAATCTAATATTTCGAACATATGCTAAATTTCATATCACTTTCCCAAAAAAGGCTTCTGGCTTGTTTAACTGAGCTTGAAATGCATGAAGACCAGTTAAGTCCTCAGGTAGCAGGTCAAGCAGTTTGTCGCATTCACTGGCAGAGACTAAGCTTTGCTCATGCCCCCTGCAGGTGCCCACCTGGGACTAAGGGGGAACACTTGGGCCTCAGGACGCAGTCAAAAACACATGACCTGAAACATCTGCCCCTTGAAACGTTCAGAATGGAGCCGTCTCTATAGGGCAGATATCATCAAATGTGCTAGTTAATGGGGCTGTGTTTTTGTTTAAATGGTGCTGTTCAGTCTGTGTGGTTGAAGATGTTTCTCCAGAGCGGAATATAAACCAGACTRCCACATGAAAGGGAATGGGAGAGCAGTGACTTCCCTTCACAGGGAATGGAAGGGGATGTGAACACCAGCGGAATGCTGTGATACAAACACAAGCAGTGAGAGGAAACTTTCATTTCCCCTTGTCATTCTCAGCCTGATGCTGGTCAAGGGACCGAAGCAGAATTTACAAGTGAGGCTGAGCCCAGCCTTATGAAGACATAATACACAGGAGCAAACACTGCTTAGCTCTAGAACTGAGAAATTAAATCGCTTTGTTTAATTAAATGACCTGCTAGAGGGAAAAAATAAAATCAAAATAGCAGRTTTGGTTGAATGCCGCCATAGGTCTCACCAGGAGACAACGGCCGTTAGTCCCTTCATGAATTTTGAGATCCCCAGACAGCTCTTGCAGTGTTTAACTGCGATGGATGTTTAAAAGGTGTCGTTTGGCTTCTCAGGGTGGCCTCCAAGGTGTGTTACTTTATTTTCACTCCTACTATGCGGCTCTTTTACTGAGCAGACTGTCTTTTCTCTAACACGGTGTGTGATTTTTGTCAGGTCTAAATCTACTCTATTGCTGTGATCAGAATTATGAATTGCTTTTCTTCCTGCTTGTGACAAGGTCCATCAAGTCAGATAATTTCTTTCTGAGCAAAAGCTCTGCTGCATAACTATCAGAAATAATATGCATTTGGAAATGTTATGTCTTGGAAATGACATACACCTTAAGAATACAAAACTTTTTCACTAGGTTTTTTCCATATATTGAYGTGATTTGTGTGTTTATTCCTTTGTTATCCTTCATTCTGCTTTGTATTTTTCCATTAACAACTGAATCGCACATAAATTTAAAGCTACCAGTTAATGTCACTACTAATTTTATCTGSAAAGAACTATAAACTGGAGTGAATATTATGGTATATGCTTTTCCTGTAATTCCTGTTTGGAGTATTGGATATTTGGAGAATGATACATGGGCAGTATTATATATTAGGTTCTTTTTGATTAAGTAGCATATAATTGGGGAGTTTCAAGAGTTTGATTTTCCTTTTAAATTAAGTAAAAGTAGTATAAGAGAAGTACTTCAGTGGAGTAGTACAARGCATTTATTTGTGAGTGCTCAGGAGTTTGCAAGTTAGGCCATTTGAAGCAGCTAATAGCAAAGGCTGAGTTTATCAGTCACTCAAGGTGTAGTTGCAACTTGCACATTTATTTTAAATTAAATTCAAATATACATAACAGCTTATCCAACATAGCATAGAAGTCACTGTGGTGCAGAAACCTGCATAATCCACTAAGTTTTCAGTCAAGCTTTGCAGCCTTCACCAGATTCTCTGCTGCTACAACTGCACGTTTCTTTGCAGTAACATTGGTCAAATTAATATTACCTAAAATCCGCATATACAAATGTGATTGCATGTTTACATACTTGAAATGCACGAAGGAATGAGATTTTTTTTTACAACAATAGATTATATTCAAAATGGCTTGAATAAATAAAAGCTATAGTAAAATGCGAGTAAACATACAAGTTGCTTTTGTGACTACAAAGGTTGAGAGAAACCTTTTGCAATCAGTAATTGGATTGTGGACTGAACTTTGAAAGGTGAAAATAAGGTCTTGTTTCTATATTAAAATCAAACTTCTGTGATAAGAGAGAGTCTTTACCTAATTACCATCACTGCTTGTTCACTAAATCCATAAACAACAGAATAATTTGCACATCACATTTTGTCCAAAGCATTTTAAACACCTTATTGTTAAATAAAGTTCTTCTCAAGCAATGTCATTCCGTTCCCAATTAAGTCAAAGAGAAGAAAGCCCTTTTTTTCCTTTCCTTATTTGCCAAAGAACTGTCATCCGAGGTTCAAACCAGTGTCTCTGCTCCCTTGCTTTTGTCAGTGATAGCTGACAATGGGCTCGGCCTCATCTTAATTCTTGAAAATGGGACAATGCAACCACTTGGAGGTCACTGTTTAACTTCAGCGCTGCTTTAGCCTGATACTCTGATTGCTGATTGACATTTTAACCTTTTTTTTTCCCTTAAATATGTTCATGTCCTTAATGTTACTATCTTTTCCACAGTCATATGTAGTGAGCAATAAGAAGCAGCTAATGTTAGAGATCGAAACCCATGAAGACAATTTTTTCCCAGTAGATGATACTTAACCCATAGCACTAAGGCTGTCTCCTTGAGCAAAACCAGTTCCTCGGGACAGAGCTGTTTAGAGGGCACTGMTGTGCTTTCTGTTACTCTTTCTGCATCTAATGTCAAAGCATCACTGCTCGTGTCTCTGGTGCAGAAAACTTCTCTGAGGATCTGTGAAGCTCTTCTCAACAGGCAGGATTCTGCAGCAGAAAACTCTGACTGTAGGCACTAGGATGGGAATGAGAACTTTTAATATAGAATTTCTATTAAAAAAAAATAGGTAGTTCTCAGTTGTTCTGCTGAAGACTAACGCTTCCCTGCAATATTCACTTCGTAGGTCAAATAAAATTACTGCTTATTCTGATGGAAATAATTCTCCAGAAACCATTTTCACTGTTTATTATAAAGAGCTTGTCTCTAGGACAGGCAGGAGAYTTCAATGAAATTGTGACTGTAAAAGTCAATTTTGTGTGTGTGTGTGGGGAAAATATCCAGAAAAGGAAAGCATATTTACTCTTCTTTAGTTTTTTAGAACTGCTTCAGCATTGGGATAGTTTCACACAGCCTCTCTGAGACAGCCGTATGGAATTAATATTCCAAAACAGAAAGGAATAGGATTATTTTTGACATGAAGTTTCTGGTATCCTCATCTACTGATCTCCTCTTGTAATTCGGTGTTGGAGAGGAGAAGGCATTTGGGTYATAGGGGATGACAGCAAATGAAGAGTTTTGGACAAAAAAAAAAGAGAGAGAAAAAATGTTGGATTCTTTCCAATCCTTTTCAACCAAGTTAGTAACATCAATCTCTATAATAAAAATATAAAGATAGGTATAAAATGTGCATTTATTTTTAAATGTCAAACACTGCAAAAAGATGTGCATGTTCTATTAAGACTGCATGTATAAAAGGGTACTTCAGTAGTAAACACATATTAATGTATGGTGAAGTAGATGGATATAGAAAGGAAGAAATAAGTCCTGTTAACATTTTGTATAAG